ATTCAGGAATCAAGGGCTATGGAGAAACTCCTTCAGGTTGTTGGCAACAGGTAAATGAAACTAGGACAGTGACATGAAAATAAATCTCTCTGTTAAACAAACAAAAAAGAATAAGAACTAAATAAATGTGGTTTCTTTTTTGTGATAATTATGTGCTACATCACCCTTCATTTCTACCTAAGGTTTAAATCAAATAATTAAGAGGGGTTCTTGTGAGTTTTATTATTTTAATAAAAAATAACTTTTACATTCTATTTGTATTTCTGCCCATACTGAATTCTTCCTGCATCTTTTTTTTGTGTGTATATACATATATAAATATATACATAAAATGACCTGTTTACATGTTATTTTTTTATATATATGTATAATGTATATATGTATTTTTTTTGAGACAGGGTCTCGCTCTGTCACGTAGAGTGCAGTGGTGTGAACACAGCTCACTGCAACCTCCTGGGCTCAGGCAGTCTTCCCCATCAGCCTCTCGAATAGCTGGGACTACAGGCACAGGTGATACCACCATACCTGGGTAAAGTTTTTTATTTTTTGTAGAGACGGGTCTTGCCATGTTGCTCAGGCTGGTCTTGAACTCCTGGAAACAAGCCATCCTTCTGCCTTGGCCTCCCAAAGTGCTGGGATTACAGGCCTTAGCCATGGTGTCTGGCCTAGAAATATATTATCCTGGCTGGGCTTGGTGGCTCACTCCTGTAATCCCAGCACTTTGGGAGGCCGAGGCAGGCAGATCACCTGAGGTCACGAGTTTGAGACTAGCCTGGCCAACATGCTGAAACCCCGTCTCTACTAAAAATACAAAAATTAACCAGGTGTGGTGGCAGGTGCCTATAATCTCAGCTACTCAGGAAGCTGAGACATGAGATTGAACTCAGGAGGCAGAGGTTGCAGTGAGCTGAGATAGCACCACTGCACTCAAGCCTGGGTGACACAGCAAGACTCCATCTCAAAAAAAAAAAAAAGATATTATCAGTTAATATATTGCTAACTTTTTACCATTATTGAAATAGATATAAAATTATAACCACCAACTCAAGTGTACATGAAATATCCTAATTTGAACTCAGCCCTTCTTCATATTAGGCTGGTGAAAAATTCCTTCATAGTTATTAGATTGGTAGGGCAGAGACCTTCTTTTCTCAAGGCTTGAATGAGAATCCAGGCTTATGCGATATCTAGAAAACTGGCCTTCACATCTTTAGTCCATCGTTTTCTTCATTAGTCATATCTTTATTGTCTAAGATACATATGGTCTTTTGGAGGCAGGCAGCTCTGATGATTTTACCAAGTTAGTGTTAGAAAATATTTGCTGATGCCAAAAGCCATGGTGCCAAGGGACTAGCTTCCCTGTGTGCACCATGCATGGGGCCACTGTGTACAGTAGGCAGACTGTTCTTCATGAAAGGGCACTTGATTGAGAGAAAGAACGGAAGCTAAAATCCAGCCTGTATTTACTCCATTTACCAAGCTGAATTATCTTAGGGCTACATTAGCCTAGAAGTGTTGACTTTTTTCTAATTCACATTGAGGCACTGTATGGGCGTATAGTGACCCTCTCACCATTCCCCATCCTCTGGGTTCCTGCCTAACCTCTTCATCCCTTCTCCTTCTCCTTTCCCCCAGGCTGGGGGGGGTGGTAAAGCTGACTGTAGATTTTGAAAACTTGCTTCCCTACTCTTGGAAAACATTTATGCCTCTTCTTTGGCTTCTCTTTCTTTAAAAATACTAACATGTGACTCCTCCTTCACTTGGATACCTCACATACTCTCTGTTTGCTTAGAGATTCACACAAGACAGAAAAGAAAGATGCCTTCAGGAGACCTCTGCTCTGGACCCTGCAAATGTTCTTGAGAAAGGAAATGCCTGACTACTCTCTTAAAATTAAAGGTGAAGGGAGTCAGAGGTGAAAAAGTAGAGTAAAACACAAATACGTATCTTGATAAATTTCAAGTGAAATGTTGAAAGCTTAAATTTTAGTTTTTACATTTTTAATTTTGAAATGTTTACAGTGTCCATTGTACAAAATTTACATAAAATGTTTCCTTAGGAAATCACAAAATCCATAGTAATTAAATGGAAATTGATGAGTCATTACTTTCTTCCCAGCATGATAGAAATTATGTAGCTGAAAGACTTGAAAGTTTGAAATTGCTTTCTTCATATCACTTATTAAAAAATTCTTCTTTGTTTTATGGGTGGTTTGGCTCCATTTAATTTCTACTTAAACTAATGAATTTATATTTAGTTTACGGTGTCAATATTAAAGTAACATAATAATTCATAATAAAGTTGTATTTAAAAATAAATTGGGCCAGGAATAAAGATATTTTTGGGAGGATTGCTTAAAGCCAGGAGTTTAAGACTAGCCTGGGCAACATAGCCAGACCCTGTCACTGCAAAAAAATTAAAAAATTAGCCAGGCATGGTGGTGTATTCCTATAGTCCTAGCCACTTGGAAGGCTAAGGTGGAAAGATGGATTAAAGTTTGAGGTTATAGTGAGCTATGATTGTGCCACTACTGTACTCCAACCTGGGTGACAGAGTGGGACCCTGTCTCTTAACCAAAAAAACCAAAAACCAAAAAACAACAACAAAAAACTTGTGGAGAATATTTGTTTTGAGCAAATAAATTTTTTGTCAATTTGTTGAGTAACCTGAATGAAATAACAGATGTGGAAGATACAGACAAATATACAAAATCATAATATTTTGGTGCTATATATTAGAATGATTGAAAACTTCATTTTTGTAACAATTGCTATGAAATGTCATTTGTTCCATTCTGCTTCCTAGAATTGGTGTTGGTAAGAGTACTTTTTAGGTATATTTTTGCTATGCATTATGCATCTCTAATTTACAATAGAAATGATGAATCTCTCAAATTTTAAAACTCAGGGGAAAACTAGCACTTACAATTCATCCATTATAATTATTGTTTTGAATCTAGGAGAATTATAAAACAAGAGCATGGTAGGTATAACCAGCAAAAGAAAGACAGTATCTTCTAATCATGATAGAGTGTCAGTGGGAGTGGAAGTGGGCAGCAGGTATTACTGAAATGAGAATAATTAGTATTTAATTAAGCAAATGCTGCTTTTGATTGTCAATGAACAAGGAAAGCATATTCCTCCCTCTTTATTGTAAAACAAGGCCTGGGAATGGTAACATTCATCTTCAAAAGCACAGGTATTATGAAGTGAAAATAACATATTTTGGTAAAATTTGTCGAAGCTGGAAATTAACTGAATACACACTTCTGCAAATTAATACTAGAAAATTATATAGTGTTTTATTGGGATAAATCACAACATTACAAAAATTCTTTTTCAATTAATTTTATTTATATAACAATTGCTATACATAGAGATATATATGAAAGATACATGTATTCAGGATAGCCAGTTGTTTTCTCATTGTGAAAATGCTAAAAGTTTAGAGTTTCTTTTCCTTTTTTAAAAATCCCTTTGCATATAAGTTAAAAACTTAATTTAAAATGTTTAGCACTGCATATACTATGTAAGTAGAACCCAGGCTTATTTGATGACTAGGGGCACAAGCTTTATAGTTAAATAAATCCTGGTTCAACTTCCATATTTATAATATCTCAACTGATAACCTTGCACAAAGTATGTTTTTGAGCCTTAGTTCATTTTTTAAGTAGAAATGATACTTTACTTTGTAAAGTGGTTGTGAGATTAAATGTAATAAGGTTTATTGAGTTTATGCTATGAGAGTATGACTCATACCATGCAATAAGTGTTAGCTCAGACAAATTGGATATAGCTTTTTGCTTCATAAAATAACACACATCTGCCTTTTCCCCTTTTGTCAATTAGAATTATATGCATTGTTTTCGAAGATGAGACTCTTAAAATTTTTGTGTGATTACAGTCTAATTTTATTTATAGCTAAGCTTTAAACAAGGTCTTTTTTTTTAAAAAAAATTGTTCAGTTTAAATACTTTTTAAGTCTAATGGTCAGGTGGTTGTCAGCCATTTGGAAGGAGAACAAGCTCATTTCTACCCTGCCTAGTTAATTATTGTGATTGTAAGCAAAGGATGTACAATTCAAAGTCAGGCAACATTTCACATGGATGATGGAGGTGATAATAGCTTAATTCCTGCTGGATTTTTTTTTCTCTGCTCTGGCAAGTTCATACTGACCTTGTCCAAAATCTGATGACCTCCCTATTTTACTCAACTGTTTGGAAAGCCGGGCCTGCCATAGCTGGCCCTGAGGGGGTATCTGAAAGACCACTGAACCACTGACCCATGTCAAGACTGGATTTCAAGTCTGATCTACAGAGCCTCTGAAATAGTTATATATGGGGTTTATTACACACAAAAGGCTAAACAGCTGCATTTTTCTGCTTATTAAATGTCATTATTAAAGTTACATACTGAATTTACTCAGTTTCTCATGCAAGTCATTTTCTAGACTAATTTTAAATTTTCATCTTTTATCAGAGTTGGTGTCTTTAAACTTGACTGTTTTGAAATGTGAGGAAAATGTACTAACAAACCATGGCTAAACTGTAATAAATTGTCTTCCTGGTTGATGAAGAGACCAAGGCAGTGCCTTTTTAATGCTTATTAAGATTTTGGGTTTTTCTGGCAAAAATTCCATATACCTCATAAAAAATCTAGCTAGGTTGTCATTATTGTTACAGCATGGTAATTTATGTTTATAGCTTGTCAAACCTCAGTTATTACTAAAATGTTTGTATTTAAGAGTTTTGAGGTTATGAGACATGTCATGAAGGAAAGCCTGTGAAAGGTATTTATACCAGTAAGATGTAATTTAAATTGGGTTGGTAGGATCTATCTACCTTATGAGAAACTGTGACAGGGCTATGATATGCAAAGAAAAAAAATTCCCTGTGTTTATTTTGTTCTTCTGAACAATAGAAAATGATCAGGTCCTTTTTTTGAATATCTAGTCAGTATCCTACAGTTTATAATATCACATTGTCTCTTATTTTTGTATAGGAGTTGATCCCTGAATTTTATTATCTCCCTGAGATGTTTGTCAACTTCAATAATTATAATCTTGGAGTGATGGATGATGGGACAGTAGTGTCTGATGTTGAACTTCCTCCTTGGGCCAAAACCTCAGAAGAATTTGTTCACATAAACAGATTGGTAAGATAGTAATCATCTACTCTGTCTGTCATGAGCTTTTGCTCAAAGCATCTTTCATGTGTTGGTGTATAATCATTAACCCTTGCTCTTCTGGACAAAGCTGTAGGTGATAGGACTAACTGAAAGTGACATAATAGCTCAAGAATCCTTGTATGTACTTTATGAAATGTTATTGAATTGATATATAAAATAATAGTTTATGCAGAATTTAAGTTACATTCATATATACATGATAATTCAAAATAAGCGAAAATTAAAAGTGAAATTGGAATTATAAGTTTTTCCAAATTTGAGCTTCTTCTTCCAAGAAAGGAACATAATTTTGTGTTCCAGGTTAGAAGGCCATTGCACATTTTCGTAAAAGAAACAAGATTTTCAAATTACGTCCTGTATCTATCGTTTGAAGGAAATCGTCATGTAATATTGAGAATATGAAAACGTTGAAACTTAAAAGCACGTTAAATTTGTGCTTACAAACAACTCTTTAGTGGACTCTTTAGTGTCCTTCGTATCTGGGTTCAGTATTCTTTTTGAGACATTAATATGACTTTTTTTTTTTTTTTGCCTTTTAAGTTTCACAGAAGTTTGGAATCAGGTAGCTTTATTCTTAGTATTTTGCAGTGAGCTGAGATCCGGCCACTGCACTCCAGCCTGGGCAACAGAGCCAGACTCCATCTCAAAAAAATAAAAAAATAAAAATAAATAAAAATAGAATCTTGGCCCAGTGCAGTGGCTCACACCTGTAATCCCAGCACTTTGGGAGGCCGAGGCGGGTGGATTACCTGAGGTCAGGAGTTCGAGACCAGCCTGCCCAACATGGTGAAACCCTGTCTCTATTAAAAATACAAAAATTAGCCGGGCATGGTGGCGGGTGCCTGTAATCCCAGCTACTTGGGAGGCTGAGACAGGAGAATTGCTTGAACCTGGGAGGCAGAGGTTGCAGTGAGCCAAGATCACCCCATTGTACTCCAGCCTGGGCAACACAGTGAAACTCCGTCTCGAAATTAAAAAAAAAAAAAATTTAAAAAATAAAAGTAGAAAGTTTACCGTACTCTACGTTAAAAGTGAAATCTCAGTTGCATTGTGTTTTTACTTCACACATAAAAAAGGAAAATTGGCCGGGCGCGGTGGCTGAAGCCTGTGATCCCAGCACTTTGGGAGGCCGAGACGGGCAGATCATGAGGTCAGGAGATGGAGACCATCCTGGCTAACATGGTGAAACCCCGTCTCTACTAAAAAAATACAAAAAACTAGACGGGTGAGGTGGCGGGTGCCTGTAGTCCCAGCTACTCGGGAGGCTGAGGCAGGAGAATGGCATAAACCTGGGAGGCGGAGCTTGCAGTGAGCTGAGATCTGGCCACTGCACTCCAGCCTGGGCGACAGAGCGAGACTCCGTCTCAAAAAAAAAAAAAAAAGGAAAATTGTTGCATTTTTTTTCATGTGGCATTCCTTTCTTTTCATACCAACAATTAATCCTGTCTTCCAGATCCTATTACAGTCTCATTATTATTGAAATTTTGCATTCTATATATACTGGAAACGATGCAGGGAAGTGGAAAGAATATGTAAGCTTTGGAATCTGACCAGATTTCCCAATCCTTTATCAATCACATTGCTGATTGTGGGATCTTAGCAGTTTAACCTTTCCGAGCCTTGGTTTCTTCATTTGTAGTTTTGAAATTATGAGTAAACAATTGTAATTATGTATGTAAAATGCCTAGAATATTGTTTGGCTTATAGTAGGCACTCAGAAAATAGTAAACAATATTATTGTATCACAGTCTTATGGAACATGTTGCATTTTACTTTTACCCCAAGAATTTTTAAAGATTCTCACAAAGTTTCTGTGATTAAAGTGAGAGATGAAGACTAAGCTTGCTCTGAAAGATACTGGAGGAAATGTCAAACCTTTAAATGCGGCAGGTGTCTAGGGTCGTATGTGCTTTTTTTTTCTCCAGGGACACACAGAAGTGAATAGAAGGTACATTCATACTACAACTTTTTTCTTTCAGTGATTTTTCTTTTAAAACAGATTCATTGAGGTACAATCTATATATCATAAAATTCAACTTTTAAAGTATGCAATTCAAGGAGTTTAGTAAATGTATACAGTTGTGTAACTGCCACTATAATCCAGCTTTGGAACACTCACATGAGTACAAAAAGTTTCCTTGGGCCTCTTTATAGCCACTGCTTCCACTGCTGGCTCCAGGCAATCACTGATTCTGTCTTTATAGTTTTGCTTTTCTAGAAATTTAATATTAATTGAATCATACAATATGTAGTCTTTTTATGCCTGTCTTCTTTCAGATAGCATGATGTTTTTTGAGATTCATCCATGTTGTGCATATATCAGTAGTTAATTTCTTTGTGTTGCTGCATAGTATTCCATTTTATAGATGTATCACATTTTACAGTGTCTTTGCTAGTTAATGAACTTTTTTTTCCAGTTTGGGCTATTATAAATATTTACATGTAAGTCTTAGTGTGGACATCTGTTTTCATTTCTCTTGGGTTGATTTCTAGGAATTCCTGGATCATGTAATAAAAATATTTACCATTTTGTATTCCCACAAAGTATGAAGTTTCAGTTTTTCCATATCCTTACCAAGACTTGGTATTGTCAGTCTTATTTATTTTAGCCATTCTATTAGGTAGGTCATTGTTATTTTAATTCACCTTACCCTAGTGATGAAAATGTTAACCATCTTTTCACAGACTTATTTGCTACTCATATATACATATGTTCTTTGGCAAAGTATCTATTGAAATATTTTGCCTATTTTATTTTATTTTATTTTTTATATTTTTTATTTTATTTTTATTATTTTGCCTATTTTAAAATTGGGTTGTCTTTTTATTATTGAATTGTAAGAGATCTTTGTGTATTCTCCATAAAAGTCATTTATCCAACATATATTTTGAAAATATTTTTAACTAGCCATTTTTTATTTTTTAGTGGTGCCTTTTGAATCACTGTTTAAAAAATGTTTTAACTAAATATTAGATATGAAATATTTATACAATATATAAAAGGTACAAAATATCCTCATCATTGGTGAATATACTTTTAAGAAAAAAAATCATATTCTGATCTTTTTTTATTGACACACTTTTTCTCAAATATGACTTGAAATTTTAAGTCTCAAGGCAACCAGTTTTCTGTTAATCATTACCATAGTTAGTAGTATTTATAATATAAAGAAGTTTGTTAGTATGTTTACTTCACTTTAAAGGAGCTCTAAAAGGCAGAAAGATTTGAATAAGTTATATATTAAGTTTTTCACCAATATTTTGACAATTAAAAAATTTAATTATATAAGTTAAGGCAAGCCACTCTCCTGACAGTACCTCCCATCTCTACCCGTCTACTGCCTTCACCCCAGAAGAGCCAGGCCTATTTGGGACAGGTTTACAAGGGCATTAAGAAAAGAAGATTGTGGTTTACCAAATTGCTTTACAACTAGATTTGGATTTTGGCTACCCATGCTCTAAACTTGAACATGACTGTAAAGTTATATACCAAATAATATTTTGCAGTATTAACTGTGCATTTGTTATAACATTATTATTAAGTTTACTTAATATTTTTCCCAGTGGTTCCTACTGCTTGAGTTTTATAGATGTCTTCATTGTTTAGACTCTGAATTAGCTTACATTCCTAAACAGAACTGTATATAAATTCTCTGCAATTCAAATGCAAACATAGTGTAGAGTTGAGTATGTATCTGGTCATTTTAATTCATAATTAGGAAAGATACTTGATTTGACATATATGTGCCTTTATGAAAGACTTTAATACCACATTCATTCACTCAAAAATATTTATTTTACACCTCTGATGAACAAAGTTTCCTTACAGTATAGTCTATATTGATTCATTTTGTAATTTTAACTTTCTACAAGTGACTAAATTGTTAGTATGGTATCTTATGTATTGGTTAGCATATTGTCACATAAGGGTTTCATCCCCCTCCTCTTTTTGGTTTACCACTTCAAGTCCACAGATTTTATGCAATGATTGCAGCTCATGAAATGCATACTACTTTGATCTGTGACCTTTTTGTGGTGCTAATCGGGTTCCTGATATCATTATACCTTACTCATTAATCATATTTCCTGCAGCCCGTCAGGCAGCCAGACAGCACAATCCCTGTTTTCAGCCCTCTGTTGGCAGGTTTCTGCTTTTCCAGATTATTACAGACGATACTTCGGCTTCTCATAGCCAGAGCCATATCAAGCTGTGTGTTACAATTAAAGTCAGATGGTCCTCAGGTTGAACAGGGATATAGTGTTGCAGCTGTCCCTCTTCCTGGAACAAGCCAGCACCAAGAACAGATGATCTATAGGACGGTGAATAATAACAGATTGTACAATACTCGGTTGGTAGCAGGGGATCAGAGAATTAATTAACTGACATACTCATGTTAAGATACCCAGCATGTCTTTTTAAAGTATTTGGTTGTTAATTCAAGAGGATAGGATATTTTTAGGAGCATGATTTTGGTAGTGAACCAGTAATGCTACATTCTCTGTTTATATTAGAGGACCGTAACTACTGTCTTACTCAACGACTTTTATCCTCAGAGTTTTCTGTAAGTAATGAAGATCTAAATGTAGGATTGGAACATTGGCTAAGTGGATGGGCTTATGAACACAGGATACTATCCTACATATTTTAAAAGGAAAATTCACCTAAATTTTATTAGTTTTTCAAAGAAGTAAATTATATTTTGTTCTGAACAGTTGGAATCAGGGTAAAACCAAAGCAGTCTTAATTATGTCCCTGAGATTGGTCCCTGTTATCTACTATTACCTGAACTAGGAAAATAATTTATTTCAGATACTGCATCAGAAATATAAATGAGAAACAGGCTTTCATACTTTCAAATAATAGAAAAATTTATGAGTTCAGACTGCTCATCATCTGTCTCTTATGATATAATGTCAATGTTTGGACCTATATATTATACTGCCTCTTATAACCTTCAAGTTTCATG